ATAGGTAGGCCTACCATCTGAGGGCAGGAGGTCATGAATTTTGCCTCTAATAGTTAGAATTTTGTCATTAAAAAAGCTCATAAAATCATTACTGCTAAGGGCTAAAGGAATACAAGGCTCAATAGAGCTTTGACTCTCAGTCAGCCTGGCTACAGTGCTGAAAAGAAACCTGGGGTTGTTCTTGTTTTCTTCTATTAATGCTGAGTAATAGTTTGCTCTGGCATTGCGGAGGCCCCTCTTATAAGTTTTGAGACTGTCTGTCCAGATTAAACGAGATTCTTCCAGTTTGGTTAATCGCCAATTCCTTTCAAATTTTCGCGATATTTGTTTTAACCTACGGGTTTGAGAGTTATACCAAGGAGCAAACTTTCTTTGCTTTGTTAACTTCTTTTTAAGAGGAGCTACAGAGTCGAGCGTTGTTCGCAGCGAGCCTACGGCGCTATCAACAAAATGATCAATTTGGGAGAGGTTAAAGTCGGCACGGGAAACCTCTGTTACTGAAGGTATTGGTATTGAATTTAACGACGAAGTAATCTTTTCCTTAAATTTTGTGACAGCACTATCTGATAAACATCTAGTATAGTAACTGTTGCTGAGTGGCGTGTAATCGAGTAAAAAGAAATCAAAAGTAATCAGATAATGATCTGATAGCAAGGGATTCTGTGGAAAGACTTTTAGGTTATCAATTTCAATTCCATACGTCAGAACTAGATCGAGGGTATGGTTAAAACAGTGAGTGGGTTCATGTACACCCTGACTGAAGCCAATGGAGTCTATTAATGAGATAAACGCGGTAGCCAGGGAGTCATTATCAACGTCGACATGAATGTTAAAATCGCCTACAATAATAACTTTATCTGATTTAAGAACTAAACTGGATAAAAACTCTGAGAATTCAGATACAAATTCAGAATACGGGCCAGGAGCACGGTACACTATAACAAATAAAAGTGGCTGCGAGGTTTTCCAGGTCGGATGTAAAAGACTAAGAACGAGGCTTTCAAATGAATTATAATCTAGTTTAGATTTAGGGCTGATTAACAGACTAGAGTTAAAAATGGCTGCAACTCCCCCTCCTTGGCCGCTGCCTCGAGGAATGTGGGTATTATTATGACTGGGAGGAGTGGATTCATTTAGACTAACATATTCATCTGGACATAGCCAGGTTTCGGTGAGACTGAGTAAATCAATATGATTATCTGAAATTAATTTGTTTACTAACACTGCTTTAGACGATAGAGACCTGATATTTAACAGTCCGCATTTAATTCTCCTGTTTTGTCTTTCTGTCACAGAAGAGGTTTTAATTTTTATGAGGTTGTTATACACAACTCCTCTGTTTAATTTTGGATTTAAATAATTTAGGTAGTCGGGGGACAGACACCGTTTGTATAAATCTATGAAAACTATGGCTGGGTAACTGAACTAGAAGCTCAGAGAAGCGTATAGGACTGCGACTCTGAGTCCTGATCTCAACTCTGGATTGTCAGGGATTTGAATTACTAATAAAATTTGCCAGGTTCCTAGAAATGAGAGCAGCTCCATACAAAGTGGGATGAATGCCGTCTCTCCTAATAAGACCAGGTTTTCCCCAGAAAGTTTGCCAATGATTAAGGAAACCCACATTGTTTGCTGGACACCACCTGGACAGCCAGCGATTAAATGATGACATGCGGCTAAACATGTCATCAGTGGTCAGATTTGGGAGGGGTCCAGAGAAAACTACGGAGTCCGACATCATTTTTGCATATTCACACACCGAGGCAATATTAATTTTAGTGACCTCCAATTGGCGTAACCTGGTGTCATTGCCGCCAACGTGAATAACAATCTCACTGAATCTACGTTTAGCTTTAGCCAGCAGTTTTAAATTTGATTCAATGTCGCCCGCTCTGGCCCCAGGGATGCATTTGACTATGTCCACTGGTGTTGCTAACTTGCACTCGCTGAGTGGGGAAAAGCGGTTGGAAACGTGAACAGGCTGGTGGTGAGCTGTGAGCTTCGGCTTGGAGCTATGCCTCTGGCGAACGGTTACCCAACCTCCCGGCTGCACAGGCGTTACTGGAGGACCGCTAGCAGAGGCTATGCTATGTGGCTCCGTACCGGCTACAGGGGACTGGCTAACTACCGCAGCTACTGAATGGTTTTCCATGGTGCGGAGCCGCGCTTCTAATTCGCTAAGCCTCGCCTCCAACGCAGCAAATAGGCAACACTTGTTACAATTACCACTGTCGCTGAAGGTGGCATAGGCATAGCTAAACATTTGGCACACCGAGCAAGAAAGAGGGAGAAGCCATCGCTAACTGTAAAGCTAATGTAGCTGCCAAGGCTAGTAACATGCAAAGAACAGCTAAGAGATTAGCAGGGAAGTCGTAAAAAGGAGGAGAGCTACAAGTGCTTAAACAGAACTAGTGTGGGTTAAGACTTGAAGTAGATGTTAAAGCAACTGAAGTGAGAAAGCAGAAAGCAGGCTAGTAGAATTCACTAGAGCAGTACAGAGACGCTGTCACAGAAACACCGGAAATGACACAACTCGCTTACCGCAATACGTCAGCACGTCACCCCACAAGGTGATTTATGTAAATTAAGTCACACTATTTAACATAATTAATAATTATTATTAATACTTACATACTAATACATATTGTACCAAAATAGCCTGTAATATTAATTATATTATTACTTTCATTATTGCTGTTGTAAGCTACTGTCATTACCGTCTGTCCTGCATCTCTCTCTGTCTCTGTCTCTCTCTCTGTCTCCCTTTCTGTCTCATTGTGTCATATGGATTACTGTTAATTTATCATGTTGATCTGTTCTGTATGACATCTATTGCACGTCTGTCCGTCCTGGAAGAGGGATCCCTCCTCAGTTGCTCTTCCTGAGGTTTCTACCGTTTTTTTGGGGAGTTTTTCCTTATCCGCTGTGAGGGTCCTAAGGACAGAGGGATGTTGTATGTTGCAAAGCCCAGTGAGGCAAATTGTGATTTGTGATATTGGGCTTTATAAATAAAATTGATTGATTGATTGATTGATTGATAGCCATTATGCAGATAGCCAATTTGATATTTAAATTGGAGATCTATGATGAGGTCAGGCCCCTGTTAAGTCCCAAAAAATGGTGCCACCTTGTAAAACACAGCACTGGTGCCTAGATCACAACAAATAGTATCCTCTCTTTTACAGTATCACCAGTAGATTCCCTACATTTTTGGTGCCTCAGTGTGACGACCAATATTGTTCCCAACATTTTTGGTGACCCCCTGTTGGCCTATTATTAAAACTTACAACAGTAGCAATGCAATAACAGTGAGGAAAAAGCTTAATTCTCATGGAAAAATATTAGAAAAAGCCACCTCTAGCTGCTTAAATGCTTTCTGTGTGATTGGGGCCTTAAACAGTTTACAAGCCTTTTTTGAGAACATAAACACATAAAAAATGGTCTTCTAAGAGTGAGGTTATTGAATATATGGGGACACTACACTGTGTATAAGGAAATGCATTTAATATTTTTTCCAATGAAAAATAGTCAGCCGTCTGCACACACATATCAACATTATTTGTCCAGCTTGGAGGATGGCTTGTTTTAATGAAAATTAAGTTTAAGCTTGTTGTCTTCTTTACAGTGGTTGGAAAGAGGCATCATTTGTGTTTAAACAACTTTTTGCTTATCAGTTATTAATCCTGGAAGTTTGAACCTGTGAAAATCTTTCCAACTTTAATGTACTGGTTTAATCAGCTGCTGTCCCCTCTTCTCGGTACTGTGTACCAGCACTGGAGTATTGGACCGTACCAGCCTACTTTCACCCCTGCTTAAAACGAGCAAGGCACACAGTCACACAGCAAAAGGGAGCTTCTTTCTCTAGAGCTGTAATGTAACCCACTGATCAATTTTATTTTTGCTCAGTTTAACACAACCCTCCTCTCTTCATCTACTGTCGGTGATGAAGGTCTAAGTCCCTGTGTGCCTGCTGGAGGCTGCGCAGCCATCAGCCACTATTGGAGCATTGGAGTGTGCCATGGAATCATAATAAACAATAAACAAATGGCAGTCATCAACAGAACAGCTGTAAATGCTCCATGAGTTTGTCATAGAACTATAGCAGCAGTCAATAGTTAGCATGGCTGTTGTAATGGAATTTTACTATGTAACAGTATAACCCATCACTTGTATTAACTTTGCTTGACCAAATGCCTTTTGTAAGTTGCTCACTGATAGAACTCTCCCATGAACGTTTCCCATGTAATTTAAAAATGCTTACACAATCAGATACAGGATTTGTTATGTTTGTTTCATTCTGTTCAAGACCAGAGAACCGGTCCTAGCCGGCTGATGTCCTTGCAGGTGCGATACATTCTTATCAGTTTCCTCCCCAACTTGTCTATAAAGAGTCCCAGCAAGGATACCTTTTGTCTACACTCTGCAGACTGCCTACCACTCTGTATGATCTGACCCTTTGCGCAAAGCGTTAAAAGAGTGAAAGACATCTCTAGTGTTTCAGAAATCGTTATGTCAGACTCTCACACACTCATAAAGTGTATATATTTTTGGAAACCACACTGTAAACAAGACTCATGGGGACATAATGGCCTACAGTCAGCCGACTGTCAGAAACCATGGCTCTGTCAGCACCTATTCATTTTGAAAGAGCAATGGCCAATGGGGAGACACCAACACTCACGTCATCAATCACTCTGACTAATGGTATAGCTTCATCCCTCACTTACTAACTCAGAGACAGACAGAATTTTGCCTATAGGGCCAGCCTCACATGCTGCGGTCCATCCAAAAATACTTTAATTTTTTGAAATTTTATTCACAATTGCAATATTGGTCAGAAAATACCCTAGCCCTGGCTATATATAGGCTTTGTTTTCCGTACTAGGTGATTGGGGCCTGTGGACGAAACATAAGACATAAAACATAATAACATAACATAAAACATAATAACATAAAATCTCTGCCAAACAGTCAACATGTTTAATATTTCAGTCACTCACCCCAAAAGTATCCTCCTCAGGTTTGTGAGCCTCTGCAGTCGGTGTTACTACTGGAAAAACACAAGATACAGTGGGTCTGAAAATCACAACAGTTTACTGCAGTCCTGCTTCCACAGACTGTCTACAGTCATCACATATTAAGCAACAAACTAGAGCAACTCAAGTGTATAAACACAGAGCTGCAGACTCAAGTAGGTGAAAGACGCATAACTTTGAGATCCAAGTCATGAAATGACATTGGTGTGGGCCGGTTAACAGACTGTATCTACATTATCCAGTCCAGTGCAGTTCAGCAGTCCAGTCTTTGCAGAGATCATAAAGTGCAGTTTTTATTGGGACCGTTCTGGGAACTTATACTGTAGACCTGTAAAGTAAAACATTACCATCAAGTGTGTTGTTTAACTCCAAAACAAGACAATATAAGTTCAAGTTTAAGTTTAAGTTTATTTACTTTATAATTCCCTGAGGGAAAATTCAATGTTTTCACTCTTGCTTGTCAATTACACACTGGTCCGAAAGACACACACATGCACAAACAGGACCTATACATTCACAAAGTGGAGAGATGTCAGAGTGAGGGGGCTGCCCTTGGTCAGGTGCCCCGAACGGTTGGGGGGTTCGGTGCCTTGCTCAAGGGCACCTCGGCAGTGCCCAGGAGGTACTGGCACCTCTCCAGCCACAAAATAAGTTACTTATGATCATAAAAAATAGCATTTCCCTCAATATGTATTATCATCAAGTATCTACTCAGTATTAGCTTGAAAAATACATTGGCTGGGGTCCAGTTAAGAGAGTGTCACAGACCTGTGCTCAGGTAAAAGTAAAACCTTTGCATCTAATATCACAATGTGACAAAAGAATCCAATGTTCAGTTTGGACTGACACTGTCAGAGAGGTTATTCATTTATATTTCTTGATTTACATTTATGGTTATGACTGAGGTTTGCAGTGGTGTCTGTAGAATTTATGGCTGAGCTGTTAGATTGCATTAGATTTCACAGGTGTACCTTATAAAGTGGCCATAATGACACTGGAAAAATATTAAGATGATGATGATGATGATGCACTGATGTGTAAGCGTTAATGTTATAGCTCTATGAGTTAGCAGCACTCTCTCCTAGACTTTACTCCTAGATATTTCTATATTACTAAATTGCATTTATAACTACGTTGTGGTGACAACGTAATCGCCACCTGGATTATGTTAAGAGACATATGTGATGTCATGAAACAGTTCATTGGTGTACTGCTCTGGATTTGCAGGGGGTGGCCGCAGTCCAGACTCCTGTCTTAGGTAAGGGAAAGATCAGGTTTTCGGTTAAACATTAAAAAAGGTAATAATAATAATAATAAAAAGAATGCTGTAGTCACTGTTGAATAGTGTTGAAAGATTGTCTATTTTGGTGGAAAATAAATTAAATACGTTGCCAGGAAACATTTCGCTGATGTGTTCCATATCAGTTTTATTGTGAGTTATATTTCCCCCCCAGTGCATTTGCTGTATAAGATTAGTTGCACATAAATAATTTCTAGAAGACAGGACAAGAGTTAGTGATCTAATTTAAGCAACTTTATATGCTGTTGGCAGTGATGGTCCCAGCACATTTGGAGCCCCACATATAAAAAGCACTTACCGTAATCATAATCTGTGTCTGGACCTGTGGATGAACAAAGAAAACACACTGCTTAGTATATACATGTTTGAGTGTAGACTCTATGACAAGGATCACAAGAAAAGGGAAAATAGTTAAAGAAGAGCAAATTTAAGATTAGAAACAGATCATGAGTGTAGGTTATAAGAAAAGCAAAAACAGAGCACTGTTGACAAGATCATCATCTCATGACTAAATATAGCTCTTCTTCCTTCTCCACATGTCACAGACCCATACGCTAAGTATGAGTTCTATTTCAATATATTACACAATACAAACATAATCAGATGTTGCTGACATGAGGCTGACATCATACAGGGAATGTGATCCCCATGGGAACACTGCACAGTCACACTGCGTCCACCTGAGGGCTAAGGCCCTGATCACACAGGATACGTTTTGCAGGTTGTGAGGCGCACCACATTGCCTTTTTTTTTTTTTCTTTTTTAACTGAATGCCACTAGGGAAAAAAACGCCTGCTGCGCCTTTTTATTGTTGCCAGGCAACCACTCCATCACCCCCTAACATTCCCATGTAATCAATGTACTGTTTATTTATTTGACTAATTAGTAAGTATCTAGTCCCTGTAATATTCAGGCAGAGCTCTGATTGAGGGTGAGAGGCAATAAGTTAATAGTTTGTCAGGCGCAAGGAAATGGAGATCTGTGTGGGTACATGAGACCCTAAAAAAGGGGGTGGATCATGGGGAGTACCACCAATTGGTCCAGGAGCTGTGCCTCGTTGATGGCCATCTCCAGGCATATTTTAGGATGATTCAGGGGCAGTTTGACAAGCTGCTGTCTATCCTCTGGCCATATAGCTCTGAATATCCAGCAACTGCTACCACCAGTTTCTCCACCATTGTTACTAGCTGTAAATTTGTTGTCAAGACCACCACAGAGGGCCCGCCTCTCAAAAATCCAATTGGACAATGGGAAAAAGGCAGAGATGATGTGAGGCTTTTTCTGCCCTGATATGAAGTTTTTTCAGCTCAAGGCGTTCAGAGCGCTCTGGCAAGAACACCAGGCATTTAGATTGCAGAAACGCGAGGCGTGTTGTAATGCAAAAACTGTGATCAAAAACCTTCATTCTCATTAAAAACAAATCACAAAAAGGCAACCCCAGCTGCTAAAACGTGTCCCATGTAATCAGGGCCTCAAGTAGGCCTCAGGAATGGATTGGACAAACCATGCTGATCCTGGGACCATTCCGCAACATTCCAGGTTACATTCAATGACAACTGTTGTCTTTTTTTAAACAATACACTTCTACAATAACTGTGCATGGCAGCTATAGTTAAGAGCTATGGAGCTAATCAGCTCATCGGAGCATTTTCATCACCACACATTAGTGTTAATTTTGACGGCAATTTCAGTTTCAGTTTTAAGATGAAAATGCTCATAATAATAATAATAATAATAATAATAATAATAATACATTTTATTTGTTTGGCGCCTTTCAAGGCACTCAAGGTCGCCTTACAAGTAAATAACAGAAAACATAAGAACAGTACAGTAGCAAATAATAAATATACAAATAACAAACATGCAGAACATAGAAATAGCAAAATAAATGTACAAGTAATAAATATAGAGAACATACAAATAGAGATGGCTAAACGGATGGATAAACTATTAGGATTAAAGGGAGTAGGCAGTTTTGAAGAGGTGTGTCTTGAGGTGTGACTTGAAGTTATCTACTAAGTCCAGATTACGGATGTGTAGTGGGAGAGTGTTCCAAAGTCTGGGAGCTGAGTAGCTAAAAGCACGAGCACCAAAAGAACTGAGTTTGAAAGGAGGTGTGGTGAGCAGAGCAGCCGATGAAGAACGGAGTGGACGAGGGGGGATATATGGGTGAAGCATGTTAGAGAGATGGGGGGGGGCAGATTATGGAGGGCTTTGAATGTTATCAGGAGGAGTTTATATTGTATTCTTTGCTGGACAGGGAGCCAGTGGAGCTGGATGAGGACTGGAGTGATGTGATCAGAGGACCTAGTGCGAGTGATTATTCTAGCAGCAGAGTTCTGAATGGTTTGTAAATGGTGAATGAGTTTGTGTGGTAGACCGGTGAGAAGGGAGTTACAATAATCCAAACGAGAGGTGACCAGTGCGTTGATGAGGACTTCTGTAGAATGCTGAGAAAGGGAGGGGCAGAGTCTGGAGATATTACGGAGATGAAAAAATGCGGTGCGTGAGGTGTTGTTGATGTGGGAGGTAAATGAAAGGGTACTGTCCAGAATAACACCAAGGCTTTTAACTTGTGATTTGGTGGGGACTAAACAGCCGTCGATGGGAATACTGTGGGGGTGGGCTTTGGAGAGTGATGACTTGGATCCAATGAGGAGAACCACACTTTTATTGGTGCTGAGTTTGAGCATGTTATTTGACATCCAGTTATTGATGGCTTGCAGGCAGTCAGTGAGGGCAGCTGGGGGTGAGGTAAAGTCGGGTTTAGTGGAAATGTAAATTTGGGTGTCATCGGCATAACAATGGATACCAAAGTGGATACCAAAGTGATGGAAAATATTGCCAAGGGGGAGGATGTAGATGATGAAGAGAAGAGGGCCTAGCACTGAACCTTGTGGAACACCGTGAGTGAGTAGTGAGGGTGACGATCTGGTGTTTTGGCCTTGAATGAACTGTGAACGGTCGGATAGGTATGAATGGAACCAGAGAAGAGCAGTACCAGAGACCCCAGTGCCAGCCAAGCGATAAGTTTAGTCACATTACAAATAATATCTACATACTTACAAACTATCATTTCTCCAGCAGTTTTTGAAAGGTTTAAGGGGTGATTTATGAGCACACACTTGAGCACACTCATCATTTGAAAAGATCAACCTCTCTATTTATGATCTCAAAAACTTTGACACTACAAATAACTAATCTGAGGCAACTAGGATTTGTTTGTTTAATTACAAACTCTGACTAATCCATGTCATATTCTTTCTTAATCTGCAGCATGTTAGTCTGGAGGTTTAAACTTGTGTCCTTCCAGAGAGTTGGTGCTTAAACATTCATCTCTGTCAGAGTAAACTGATCTGAGTTTACGTACAGCACAGCTACACTCACCGAAAACTGATCCTCCTACCTGTCAAATAGCATCAGCCCATAAACCTTCTCGAGTCTGGATTGAGTGGAGTGGGATTTAACGAGAAGATGTGCTTGCTCCACTGCCGTTTAGTGGCTAAAAAGTGGAGCTAACTGCAAACAGCCACTGCTGCAACTAACAAACTCTGCAAATCCATTCAGCAGCTCCACCATCCATGGTCAGAAATACATGGCTCATTATTTACTGCTGAAATACATCTTACAACTTGCACCAACAGCTGACGCTGCTCCAATGTGAGTGATTTGGGTGGCTAGCGAAACATCCCGGCACAGGCTATTTACTGGAGTTTACCAGCTTGACGCTTATTAGGCATTTGAAGATAATTACAAGCATGGCTGTTCTCTGCTTTCAATGTCCGATAGTCCACCAACATTTTCATCATGTCTTGTCTTATCAATCAAATGAAACATAGATTTCATCTTAGTTTTTACTATCAAGATTAATTTTTACCTCGTCATCATCTTGTTTTTGTCATGGACAAAAAGATTGTTGACGAAAAATTTTTGTAATAGTTTTAGTCAACGAAATTAACACTGCCACACATACCTAGAGTCAGCTTTCTCTTGTTGTTTCATGCTATTGCGCCACCAGGTCAAGATTTGTCAACACTTTGGTCCTTGAGAAGGTATCTGAAAAAACTGATGGCTGCATACACATACCATGGTATTTATCGATATTGACGGTCCAAAGGGTAAATTCTGACCCTTCCTCTTACACAAATAGTGATACAGTTTTTTTTCTCACTCCATCTTCAAGTAATGTTTCTTGTCTCCCAAGTTAAAAGACTCAATGCATGTGTCAGTACATTGCTGGTTTCATGGAACACTTAAAAATTGTGGTCCTTACAAATATTGCTCACTGGAGTTGCAACTAGCAAAGATTTCAACCTAATGCTAGATTACTGATTACTAATGTAGTCACCAAGACATCTGTAGGAGCCACCTTTGGTACGAATGACAGCTGTGCATCTCTGTAGATTCTAGTAGTTCTTCTTAGCAAAATTGCTCAACCTCCATCAAGCTGAGTGTAACAGACCAGTTGCCCTCACATCTCACATGATGAAGGTGCTGGAGAGGCTGGTCTTGGCCCACCTGAGACTGCAGGGGAAATTGTCACTGGACCCTCTGCAATTCGCCAACCAGCCTCATCTGGGAGTGGAAAATGCTGTCATCTACCTGCTGCAGAGAACTCACTTGCACCAAGATGGACCCTGCAGCACTGTGAGAATCACATTCATTGATTTTTCCAGATTATTTAACACTATCCAGCCACTGCTACTGAGGGAGAAGCTGCAGGCAATGAGGGTCGACACATCCACAAATTCCTGGATTACTGAGAACCTGACAGACAGACCACAGTTTTTCCGACTGTGCAGTATCCTGTCTGACATTGTGGTGAGTCATCAGATGTACTCAATATTGTAACAGCTCTTTACAATATGGAATCTTCCCCTCTTCTCTCAAGAGTGCTGTTGTTACACCATTACTGAAAAAGAACAATGTACACTCATCCATAATTAGCAATTACAGACCAATCTCCAATATCCCTTTCCTTTGCAAAATACTTGAAAAGGTCACCTACAAGCAATTGCACAGCTACCTCTCACTCCATAATAAGTATGATGTGCATCAATCTGGCTTTAGAACCAACCACAGCACTGAAACAGGACTTATCAAAGTAATCAACAATCTAAAGGTTAACAGAGCAGATAATTAACTCTCCATCCTAGTCTTATTAGACCTGACCATGGCCCTTGACACTGTTGATCACACCATTTTACTAAATAGACTAGAAAATTCAGTCAGCCTATCTGGAAATGGCAGGACATTCTCTATCTCCCTTGGCAACCACAAATCTGGCAACTTTGATATCTGCTGTGGGGTCCCACAAGGCTCAGTCCTGGGTTTAACTGTTTAACCTTTATATGCTGCCACTCGGTTCCATCATACAGAAACACAATGTATCTTATCATTCATATGCAGATGATACACAATTATATGTTTCACTTTCTCATAATAACCTCAGCCCCATAAATGACCTAATTAACTGCATCAGTGACATTAGCATCTTGATGACCAAAAACTTTCTACAATTAAACAAAGACAAAACCAAGATTCTTGTGGTGGGCACCAAACATCAGAGGGAAGCGATCAGTTCGAAACTGATTTCACTGTCTCTTAAACCCAGTGAGCAGGTCAGAAATCTAGGTGTTGTCATGGATCCAGAACTCAACTTTACCAGCCATATTACAAGTATCACAAGAACAGCATTAACCACCTAAAAAACATTTCCAAAGTTAAATCAATGCTGTCTCAGTAAGACGCTGAAAAACTGGTTCATGCTTTCATCTCCAGACTAGATTACTGTAACGCCCTTCTTGCCAGACTCCCTAAAAAGACTGTGGGACATCTCCAACTTATTCAAAATGCTGCAACCATAGTACTGACTGGGACGAGAAATGATGAGAAATTTCAAAATACTCCTCACAGTTTACAAAGCATTTAATGGTCTGGCTCCTCAATACATCTCTGACCTGATCACAGCCTACATACCCCCCCAGAACCCTCAGATCATCAGACACTGGTCTCCTAACTGTACTTATGATCCAAAATAAATTTGTTGAAGATGTATTCAGTCATTATGGCCCCAGTCTCTGGAACAAACTGCCTGATGATCTGAGACACTCTGCAACTGTGTCATTCTTGAAAGTCAAGCTTAAGACCTACCTGTTCTCCCAGGCCTATGAATAGTTAGTCTCTCTCTCTCTCTCTCTCTCTCTCTCTCTCTCTCTGTCTCTAGCCCCTTATACACTGCCAGATTTCTGGCAAACGTTGGGCCGTTTTGCTGGCAAGCTGCGAGCGTTCTGAGGTGCCCAATTTTCCACCTCGTAGGGTAGTCATATTGACGGAACCTTTTTGATTTAAACAGAAGGAGGCGGCCTTCCACCACGGGTGGGGCTGTTGATGACTTGTGGGAGGAGCTTTTGATGACGCCGCACGTGCGACCCACTGGCGGTGGATTAACAGGAAACAGCTCATAGCAGGAATTAGTGAGCAGCTAGTAGCAAGAGGCAAACCTGATAGACACTATAAAGATGAGCAACTGGGAAGACAAGGAATTGCGCACCCTCCTTGTCCTCACAAATGAAGAGGCCATAAATTGTCAAGTGACGGGGACGGTGAAGGACGGACCAACTTATGAGAGAATTGCAGAAGGACTGACTGACTCGCACGCTGAGCTACACGTTTTGTTACTTGCTCACGCCTCCCATTGCCCCGAAAAAGGCACATTCTGTATAAACAAAAGTTGGTAGGCGGCATTTTGCTGCACTCCCCGATTTTGCTTTTATACTGCCAATGCTGAAAGAAGACTGATTGAGCTATCGTGGTAGTGAATATCAATGGTCACAGTTATAAATGTAATGTGCTTTCAAACCTCTGACAAGTCAGAGCTGTCATGCGGATATCATGTATGTTCAGCCTATAAACTAACATCTCCAAAAGATCCTTCACAAGTTTTATGGATTTCTCTAACAGGATGGTATTTTCTCTAAGTGTATGCCATGCACAGAGTTTAGCATTGAGGTGAATGAGGTTAGTTTCAGAAAAAAAGCCTCTAAAAGCTCCTGTGACAAATCAAGCCATGCTTTTATGAGAGCATAAATAACATTTATTTTTAAGGTTTATGCTTTATGCATTGATTGTCCTATCTTTGTCTGTACTAACTGTATTTAGAATTCTACATATTTGTAGGTTTCTTTTTGCTCGGCTGCATCCACTTTGTTTCATTAATCTTGTAATCATTCTTTTTTTAATGCATTTCTTCCCCCTGCCATGTTTGCATGTAGCTCCAAGATGGCTCCCCCAGCATGAGCAGGGAACACACATCTGTTATCTTAAATTATGACCAAGTGAATTAGGAAGATATTTGTGATTGCATTTTCCTTCTCTCTGATATGTGAGTGAAATGCTTAGCATTTCCATGTTTTAATAAAGTGAGGTATTAGAGGGTCTGAGGGAATGGTAGAGGTCTGGTACTTTTTACAGTAGCTGCATGCAAGCCCAGTACAAATGAGTAGAGCAGTAGTCACTGATTTGACTTTGTTTTGACAGTTTCATTTGAAAGAAATCAAGACAGATAAAACTCTGCTGATGTGTTTTCTATACTTAACAGTGTAGTAAATACTAGATATGACATGAACTTAATGTGCCCCTCAGTGTCCTAACATACCTTCAAAGGGCTTGTCCAGGAAATGTCCGTACACAGTACTGGTGGCTACACCGAGGTAGTTGCTGGCCTCCAAAGTATAGTTGCCATTGTTGTGATGTGTTGGGTTTTTAAAGGTTAGGCAGCCTTCTATGTAGTCCTGATAAATATCCATATCAGGACGCACATACTCAGTGTGGGATATCTCCTAAAGGGGAAAGACAGAACAAATGAGCAGTGACATCATGTCATGAAACCCTGAGCAGAGCCTTATATCTAATGTCATTTACCAACAAAACCCGTGTTCAGAGTAATCATATGATGAGAGAGATCACACTGCAGAATATTAAAATGTTCCTAGTAGTTACCAAACTTTTATCTTTTTTTTTTCATCTGTCCTCTGATACCACCCTATCTGATGCAAAATCCCTTGAATGTTAAGCAACTAGTTACATGTTTACCCCTATATCATACTGGTAGGTACAGTTCTGAGATATTTGTACTTGACTGGAGTATTCATTCAGTATTAATTCATCTCCTCCAAGAATCGCCACCTTAACGTGGTGGAGGGGTTTGTGTCCTCCTAGAGCAAAGTGAGGGGGGTTCGGTTACTGGGAGGACCGGCCTGCCTGAGGAGATTCACTAGTGTACCTGGTACCAGATCACCCTAGGCCAAAGATTGATGATCAACCTTGTGGTTGTATCATGAGATCTGCGGCCATGTGTCATGGATACATGAGTGAAGATAGGGGCAGAGCTGTCAACTGATCACCACCTGGTGGTGAGTTAGATCAGATAGACCTGGTAAACCCAAACGTGTAGCGAATGTGTTAGTTTGCAATGTAGTACCCTTGAGTAGAGACCTCGTATAGGCCCTTTCGGGTCTCCTGTCTCTACCTTGCACTTCTCTTTTGTTGTTTGTAATTGCTCTTGTGTTTTTAATTGTGCTAAATAAATAAATACAAATACAAAAAAATGTGAACTGATAAGATCTGGCTGAGGGCCCTGTCTGTGAGGTCTTTAACTCCTACCTCCGGAAGAATTATGCATCCTAGGGGAGGTTGAGAACATGGAATCCAAGTGGCCCATGTTTAAAACCTCCATTGTGGGGTCGGTTGCTAGGAGCTGTGGTCAGAAGGCTGTTGGTGCCTGTCCTGGTGGAAACCTAAGAAGGGAGGGAGGCCGTCAGGGTGAAGAAGGAGGCCTTTGAGGTCTGGCTGGCCCAGGGGTCATCTGAAGCAGCAGACAGCTACAGGTTGGCCAGAAGGGCTGAAGATGTAGCGGCCACTGGAGCAAAAACCCAGATGTGGGAAGAGTACGGGGGGGCTATAGAGAAGGACTTTCAGTTGGCCTAAAGGAAGCTCTGGCAAAACCATTAGACACTAGAGGAAGGGAAAGCAGGGCTTCTTTCAGGCTGAGATCAGCAGAGAAAGGGAACTACTGACCCAAATTGGGGATATCATCATGCGGTGAAGGGTGCACTTTGAGGAACTCCTGAACCCGGCTGTCATGTCCTCTGTGGGGGAGGCAGAGCCTGAAGACTCAGGGGTTCTCTCCCCCATATCCCTGGCAGAGGTTACTGACATAGTCAAAAAGCTCCCTAGCGGCAAGGCACTTGGTGTGGATGAGATTTGCCATGAGATGCTGAAGGCTTAGGAAATTGTTGGGCTGTCTTGGCTGACATGCCTTTTCAGTGTTACGTGGAGGTCAGGTATGGTGCCTGCAGAGTGGCAGACGGGACTGGTGGTCCCCATTCTCAAAAAAAAAAGGGACTAGAAGGTGTGCTCCAATTATCAGGGTATCACAATGCTCAGCATGGGAAAAGTTTACTCCAGGGTGCTGGAAAGGAGGCTCTGACCAATTGTCGAACCTCGGATTCAGGAGGAGCAATGCGGATTCCGTCCCGGCCGTGGAGTTTGCCCATCCAGTCTAAATGTGCTTTGTGGACTTAAAGAAGGCTTACGAGCACATCCTTTGGAGAGTCTTGTGGGTGGTACTGCTGGATTATGGGGTACTGGGCTGTATGAACACAGTGAGAGCTGCATCTGCATACTCAGCATAAAATCAAACATGTTCTCGGTGGGTGTTGGCCTCTGTCAGGGTTGCCCCTTGACAGTGATCCTGTTCGTCATATTCATGGACAGGATCTCGAGGCACAGCCGGGGAAGGAAAGGACCTGGTTTGGAAACCTCAGAATTGCAACTCTGCTTTTTGCAGATGAAGTGGTTCTGTTGGCTTCATGACACCCAACCTCCAGCATGCACTGGGGCGGTTTGCAGCTGATTGTGAAGCGGTCGGGATGAGAGTCAGCACCTCCTTATCTATGGCTATGGTTCTCTGCTGGATACCGGTGGATTGCCCATCCAGATTGGGAGAGAATTACTGCAAGTATCTTAGTATCAAGTATCTTGGGGTCTTGTTCATGAGTGATGGTAGAATGGAGCGTGTGATCCATCGGAGGTTTGGGGCAGCCTCTGCAGTGATGTGGGCGCTGCGCCTGACCATCATGGTGAAGATGGAGCTAAGCCAGAAGGCAAAGCTTTTCATTTACTGGTCCATTAACGTCCCAACCCTCACCTATGGTCATGAGCTCTGGGTAGTGACAAAAAGAATGAGATCCTGGATAAAAGCGGCAGAAAAGAGTTTCCTCTTTGGGTGGCTGGGCTCAGCCTTAGAGGTAGGGTAAAGTGGTAGCCTCCGGGGCACCTCCCATTGGAGGTGTTCCGGGCATGTTCCACTGGTAGGAGGTCCTGGGGCAGACCCAAAACACACTGGAGGGACTACATATCCCATCTGGCCTAGGAATGCTTTGGGGTCCCCCAGGAGGAGCTGGAAAGTGTTGCAGAGGAGAGGAACGTCTGCTTTGCTTGGCCTGCTGCCCCCGCGATCTGGCCCCAGGCAAGTGGATGGAAATGGATGAATGAATGGATGGATGGATGGATGGATGGATGGATGGATATATGGATGGATGGATGGATGGGGTATTCATATTTTCTTCCACTTTAACTTCTAATCCTTTATTTTAGAGACAAGCTTTGTAATGTTTACTTAACTATCACTAATTTTTTGACAGCTAATGTTTCATCTCACACAGGCTCTGCCCTCTACAGGACTCTTTGGATAATACTCCTCTAATCACGAACACTTATTTGCACACCAAGAAAATGTATTGATGTAGCTGGCCAATCAGGATGTGCCTACCCAAATACATGCAGACGCCACAGCATATAGGGAGGCAGATTTTTGCCCTCAGACACCCTTCTTCTCCTCACTGACAGAGACTGAGCAGTTTCCTCCATTAATGGAGTCGCCACTTCAAGAACCTCATCACTGCCACAGTGTAGACCAAGCAGAGAGCAGTACTCATCAGCCACCAGCCTACAAGGCCTACTGGGCACTGCCCAAGTGTAGATGCCAGCAGTAGTGGGATCACATCAGATACTTCGACGTGATGCTTTACTGCCATGAAAATGAACAGGAGCTCGGAATCAATGAGGGCAAGACCTTCGCTTCAACTGCTACACTCCTCCACCCTCCCCTGTCACTGCCATTGAGACAGTGGGTTGTTTGTAGATGATGACAGCGTTTCATTGCTGTCCTGTATATCAGTGTTCCATTCGACTCGAGTGCCGGCATCTCTCCATCGGAACCTCCCCGCTGGTGATGTCTGCAGCGGGCTGTGTCAGGCTCCCCTCGACTCCTCCCACCCAAGCCAGTAAGTCATTTTTGTTATGATCCAACTCGCCCGGCTCATGCTGCTTTCAACTCATTCCCTCTTTCAGACATCTGCCCTGGCTGGGAATAAAGTTGTGGATTATGTCAGGGTGCAGGGTTGCACAGAGAAGTGTTACCTGTACCCCTCCTGCTCATTGGCCTGACAGCCCATCTGCCTCAGCCATCAGCTGGTTGGTCAGAGAGCAGGGAGCCTCTAACCACAGCTGCTGCATGACAGAGAGATGCAGGAGTATTTTGACTTGATTTTTTTGGGAGTGCAGCTAGCTGCACGTCTGATAGAGATGTGTTAGGCATTTGTGGGTTTCCCCTCAGCTAAATGCCCCCCTCCCTTACTGTCTCAGTTTGTACCACAGCATGGCCATATATATATTCTGATTCAACGAGTCCTGTCCGCAGCTCACTCACACACACAAAGGAGATGAGACGAAGCATGGTCACAAACCAAGAGGAAAAGAGAGATGGCAGAGCTCCCCTATTTCCCCTGCTGCCTCTTTGGAGATCAATGCCCCCTTCATGCCACATATATTGTCATGTGTTGTTGTGGATGTTCATGCTGGTAATGAAAAAAAAAAATCTTTTGATTAACATTAATCACTTTGCTCAAGAGTGGGTTCACACTTCACAGTGCCATGTCCATTTATAAAACCCATGGTCTAAAATCGTTGACATCACGACGTATGGCTGTGACCCATGTAAAACAAATTGTGTTTTATCATATCATATATAGAGCCAGGAAGAGCCTGATCCCAGCAGCCATAGCTGCACTGAACAAAAGATCCCGTTAACTCAAAATGTCCACCTCTGTGAATGAACATGTGATGTTTTGTGATGTTTTGTGATGTCTGTGATATGTCTGTGCCTGTGATATTTGTGATCGATCTCTGTGAATGTACAATTAGTGGAAAACGAATTTCCCTCTGGGACGAATAAAGTAAGTCTAAGTCTAAGTCTAAGTCTAACACATGTTTAATTCTCCCTCCTGATTCCCACAAGAGATAAGAGGATTAAACAGTGACACACTGTCTGCTGCGAGGCTGCCGGCAATGATGCCTTCACACACCTTTCCATGGCATGTATCTTTCCTTGCTGGTGGTGATGCATTCATTTACCTCACCAGGTCTAAGGAACTAGAGGAATTGAAGGTGCTGTGTCATGAGCTCTGGACTCTGAGAATATGTTGTGGGAACACACATATCACCTATGCAGAAGCTGTGATTATCATATACAAAAAATGATATAAAAGAAATAAATACACATATCTATTTCTCTCTCACTGATCTCCACTGGAGACAGGAGGGATTGAATACGGTGACAATATCAGCTGCCGCTTTGTCAATGGGAAGGCCGGCAGTGATGCATTTAGGTACATCATCACCAGCTCGGTCCTTTCCATTACGGCCCCACATGAGCCAGCTTTACATTTATTGAAGGTGTAGTGGAAAAGTGGGCTGAGACAGATTATTGCAGCTTTTT